TATTTTAAAGGAAATAGGACTTTTATTTCAACTAGACGTGTCATACATAAGTACATACAAGCTGTAGTACGGAGTAATTAAAGTGTAAAACTTTAAAAATAGTTTTTATTGTGCTTGCGGAAAATAAAATCGACATTTTTTTCTAATAGTTATTGAGATGAGGTACAGTACTACTTAAAATTATGTTACATATCGGAAACACATTAAAAATTGAGATTAAAGTCGCAAAAATGAGAGGAGTCACAGTCATTCGCAAAACAAGTCTCTAAACTGCTTATGTCGATGATATGCAGTATACATATATCTATATTATGTTTTGTCGTTACAAATAAAGAATTTGTTACAAAAATGGATAGACTTATAAAGATAGACTGCGCGCCCTATTGTTCTCGATGAGGCAGAAGCTAGAGTGAGAGGACTACACTCTTATGCTCTGAGCGCGGCGCAGCGGTGACCGGTGCGAGTCTCTCCTCTTTTCTACTCCCCACCAACGATTGAACAAGGACAGAGCATAAGAGTGTAGCTCTCTTACACTAGCTTCTATCTCACCGAGAACAATAGGGCGCGCAGACTATTTTATAGGTCTATGCAAAAATGCTACATTTAATAGCGAAAATATAAGGCGAAGAAAATATGATAGCGAAGATATGAGGAATTTTGAAGTTGCAGCTCAAAATACGCACGACAGTCCGCTAAATGAGAGAAATTGCGACTTGACATATTCGAGCTAGCGCACAGAACTTTTCCTTACGCCTGATATTTTCTTTATTATACTCTTTTAATAATAAGTTCTTTATTTGTAATAACAAAACAGAAAGTACACACTGCATACCGTTGACATATGCAGTAGTGATTTGTCTCGCAAATAAGGGCCTGAGTAGAAAGACAGTCGTACAGAATAGGTAAACACATATATTGTAGTCATAGGGCAACGCACTATGACGTCACGTTAACCTACGGCGTATCATTGTGACGTCAGAGACGATTAATTCGACATACGTTTACGTAAAACCATTGTGCGTTGACCTACAATTACGATTTAAGTTTGCGTACTCTGTTGGAACAGTGTTATGGCAATCTTTTTGATCAGGCTAACTACGACACCATACGCATTGTCCGACTTTAACATTAATTTTCGAAGTTTCCCGATATGTGACGTAATTTTAATCAGCACCAATGAATTCCTCGTCTCAA